ACGGGTCTCTAGGCCCATGTGCTGTTGTGACATCCCCTTGCTTGTCTGAACCTTGCCTTCAGTCACTATTTTATCATTTGTGGCATTTCTCTTCTTTCCCAGCACATCACCACAGCAAATTACAAAACAAATTTTTAGCCTTTGTTTCATTAAAAATATAAAGACTAAATGATTTGTGTTGAACTCTTAGGCTCTTTCACAATTAAACACGCACAGGAAAACAAGCAGCTCGCAACTGTTCAGTTGTACCAATCTGACATTATTTTATTTTTGTTTTGTTTTTTAATATACAAGCTAAATAGCTAGTCCTAACAATTATCTTACCGTAACCCCATTAAATCGGTTCACATAAAGATAAAAGTGTTTGTACATGTTCACCGGTTCATCTCCATTTGCCTGGAATCCAAAAACAAGCGCCCACCCCCATCTTTGCCCTTAGGTGCCCCTGTGGTCTGTTGCCGTTGGCCTGCTGACCCCTGCTTAGGGCAGTAAATTACAGCCATTTAGCTAATGAAGCAAGTCATTAGAAGCTGATTGGGCCGGTGTGCGTACCGCCTTAGTGTTTGTTTGGTCTACGAGACGAGCGTTTGCTCTGTCGCCAAGATAAACGAGGTGTGCATGCTCTGTGTTTGTTGGCGTGTGTGTTTATGGGGGGGCACTAGGGACAATTGTTGGTGCTTTTTGGATCTTGTTGGTTTGTGCATGCGGAGGTCAGATCCACGGTTACAAGCCAGAAAACGTGTAGCAGGAAAAAGTGCCACTGTAATTTTCCCATAATTGTCTGCATTCTGCTTCACATGCTCAAAACCACAACATAAACACTCACTGAACGTGTGTTGTCTTAGCTTCTTATGTTAGTTCTTTTGGAGTGTGTGAGCTGATGTTGAAATGCAGCATTACTTTATGGCTGAATGCAAAGACTGTATTAAACTATGTAGAACAGTTACTTCTGTCAGACCTCTGTACGAAGTTAAACAGAGCAGATGAAACAGCAATTTTCAGGGAATCTGCTGCCACTACACACTTTTTTTCCCTCCCTCCCTCCCCCCCTCTCTCTCTCCCCCCTCTCTCCCTCTCTCTCCCTCTCTCTTTCGCTCTCTAAGGGGATAATTAGAAACTGGCAGAGAGTGTAAAAAGTACGATCCAAAACACAACAAGATTTATTATTACCAGGCTTTAGTTTGTGTTTGGAAAGCTTTGATATGTGTGTGCTATTTAAACCGAGTTTTCAAAATAAATGTAACGTGACATGTGCTAACCACATGTCCTCTCGCCAGCCAATAATAGTCACTGCATTTTAAAACGAAAATTAATCTATGTTTAAAGATGTAGTACACGCTTCAGAAAAGGAAGTCGGAAAATTAGGATAATGATTTCAGCGAGTCTGCTTCTTTTTGTTCTCCAAAGCGAAAAGGAAGCCATCAAATCCGTGCCAGTGTAAGTTGTTGGTTTACAGCAATCTTCCTAAGGATTCTTTTTCTAAAGCATGCCGTTTACTCTGAGGTGATGGTTACATAAAGTTGAGTTCTTCAGGATGTAACAGTTATTAGAAAAGCCTAGCCTTAGTCAGGATATCATTTAAAGGGTGACTGTAATCTCACCTACACACACAAATGTTGAATGTATCCAGGCAGCTGTGAAGTAAATGCACTTTGTGGAACACTTTTCACAGATCAGATGAGAAGTATTTTATTAATCTCAAAAGCTGGGAAGTTCTTATGTTAGAGCAGCCAAAGCATGAAGAAGTACCTACAATAATATAAAAAGGTAAAAATACAATGTCAAAGGACAAAATAGCACAGAAATGTAACAAAAATTGCACCAGAAACTGAGTTCGATTGAACAGAAACAGAAAAAAAATTGATACAGTGCTGTCCAAAACTCGGACGGCTTAACAAAGAACCAATTATCATTCAGCTCTTTGTTACTAGCAGCCTGTCGCAAAAACACACCATTTGCTCCAATTTTCTGTACTTGAATCTACAAAAAAACCTCAGTTTGACGAGCATCAAATAGTGCTTTTGCACCTGCAAGGTGACTCCTTAAGAGCTCTTAAGGCTGAAAACCTGGCAAGTGGAGAACAAAAGAAAAACTGTCTACAGCAGATGAACAGTTTCTGAAAGTAACGTCCTTAAGAAATTGGGTGAACTTGAGAAATCGGATGCATCTCTCAGGTCCTGTGTCAGGTCTTTGCTGGGTATTCCCCCCCACACACACAGAAAAGTGTCATCAGATTTTGATCCACCATGCAATACCATCTGCAAAGCGTTTGATTGGTAACGGCTTCATTTATCAGCGTGACATTGATAGAAACACTATCAGTCATGGATTGGCCTCCCCAGAGCCTGAACCTCACTGTTATTGAAGCAGTGTTGGATCAGAATAGACTAAAAGGCAGCCAACATCCAAAGAAGAGCTTTGAATGTCCTTGATCCTGGAGAACTATTCCTGAAGACTACTTCAGGAAATTACAAGAAAGCTTAAATTATTATACATTATTGCACCTTTTTCACCCTTTTCCTCTCAAAATACAGAGAAATGAAGGGTGGTTCAAGTCTTTTGCACAGTACTCTACATTTCACCAACACATGATTGCATTACTGTCACTCACTAAAACATTTTATCCGGCCTTTTAACACTTTATGAATTCCAAGTGTAATTTTCCTGCTAAATTATAGCCTGTCCAGAAAGTATAACACCTAATTCATCCACTGAATGTATTACATTCATAAGATGTAAAATGGTCTTACATATATTCAATATATTCTCGAAAAACAAGTGAGCTAATTAAATAATGTGCTTGGATAAATTTAGATCCACTATGTAAATTTAAGTAGGCCCACAGTTTAAGGCAGGCTATTTGAATTCAGCCTATTTTTTCAGAGGATTAAGATTATTTTAATTGGTGTATAATCACACATTACTGTTCATTAATTGCCCGTTACACATTGAAACCCCTGAAAAGGGTAATAGACCCACAGTGGTCGCTCATGCTATGTAATCGATTTAGTCATAAACGACCAACAACTTTGTACAAATCCACAGTTTCCTGATCGCAGCCAGATTTAATTAAAGCTGTGAGAATGTGGCATGATCACACATTTCCGTTAAGCACAAATCGACAATCGTAACCATGTAGTTTTAGAATTACATTATTATTACATTATTAAACTAATTGTACAAGTTAAAAAGTTAAAAATGTTAAGTGTGCCCAAGGTCACTCATGCATGTTGCATACACAAGCGTTTTGCACACGGGAGCGGTCGGTTTCCTTAACTTAGTTCTCAGGGGTTTATTACAATAAACAATGGGCTGTTCATTGTCTGCTCTGGGATCCAGAGTTGTACTTGATCTGTAGTATTGGTGAGTACCGATTTTTACAGTCCATGCAGTGAGAGTCCTCGGGAGAAAATCATTTGTTTCTTGCAAAAACCCACCCTCCCAGCGAAAGCCGATAAGATGCTTTGGCATTCAGTTTCTTTAGCTCGATTTCTCACCTCTGCCACCATGTCCTCGTGTTGTTGTTCTTAAACTCAATCCCATCTTCAGAACGAAAATGTAAGTGCACCAAGTGATGTGGTGATATGCTGGGACGACAGACGAACTGAGTACAGACTCACCCAAACATGCCTGCCGAGAGTACCTGCAGCGATAGGTGGAAAACTCATAATCTATTACTCACTTTTAGATTTTTGTATTTGTATTTGTGGTTTTTTGTTTTCTTTTTCTGGAATCAGTTCGAGGCATTGAGCGATTTCCTACTGCGCCTCTGTATTCGTAGACATCACTGCCGTTGCGCTCTGCATGCTTCCCTTCCCGTTCTTTATTCCTGCATGTGCATGACCGGCCCAGCTGTTTTTGCACGCTGATTTACGAGTACAACATTATGAGATTTAACAACATAGCTTTGGGCTTTATGACCTTTTTGTGAGAGCGATTGTATGTCTGCGTCGAGCTAACGGAGGTAATGTTATAGGCAACCCACTGCCAAACACCGTACCGAGTTAGATTTCTCAGATGTCAATGAAAGTGATTGAGTGTGACAGGAAAAGTAAAAAGAAAAAGAGAAAGTTGGTTTTCTTCTCCAGTAGAGTTGGAGATTGACAGTAATCCTGTTTGGAAGAGTGAACGCGACAGATTTGGGATTAGTTCAGCAGCTAGAGAGAGAGCGAGGGAGCAGCGCTTTGTGGAAGAGTTACTTTAGAAACCAGAGTTAGATATGTACATTATATATTTCTCAATAAAACTGTCACCATCAAGAGCCTCTGTGGAAAGACAGCTTGTTGCGTACTTGCAGCGCTTCCAGCTATCTATAAAATAGTTGCTAGTCATCTCTCTCCCTCTCCCTTAGCACCGCGTGACAGTGCATTGCATTGCTACTGCATTGCTACTGATATTGCTAGAACCACAGCGGCTGTTGTCAAACTCTTTGGCCCAGTGAGAAGTTTACAAGACAATGGTCAGCTAACCCACTGACAATGACAGTTCTATAAATGAAGCTGATGGTACAATATCTAATGAACTATTGGGAACGTACTGGGGGGAGCGGGGTATATATGATATATGCATATATCCTGTCGTTCTGTCATCATTCTGACATTGTGCTATACATTTCCTTAATTGTGTTTGTGCATTTCTCCACTTGACTGTCGGCAACAATGGCACTGGTGTGTGCAGAGCAGTTTACAAAGCATCAATAAGCCACCAACTGGGATAATAACAGATGAAAAGCCCCATTATTCTTAAACCCCTGAGCAACTTCTATTTTTGCTATAATATTTCACCACTTACGTGCTGATGTTGATTCCCTTTATGACGTCTGAGATTAAAATGCACTTGGGGCTCCCTAATGCGTATTGTGGTGAAGTAGGACAGCAGACTGGCAATAGACTAAACTTCCAGTTGAGAGGTGTTCTTTTTTTTTTTTTTTTTAAATTATTTTTAAGTTGTAATTATTTCCTTGCTCCTCCCCCTACTAACCACCTCCCCTCTGCACTCAGGTTCTTCTGCCTTGCCCAGCAATATGGCCTACTTCGGAAGCTCCCAGGAGGAGGAGGACCTGGAGGAAGACGACGAAGAGGAGGAGGAGCAGGTGAGGAATGGAGGTGGCGTACACTCTGCGGGAAGCAGCAGCCAAGCCTCGGCTTCTTCCTCCTGCCACTCGACACCCCGCAAGGGCAAGCTTCCCGCCAGGCAGCCGCTTAATGGGCACGGTAAGGACGGCGTCAGAGTTCGGAACGAAGCACGTCGTGTATTTTATTTATTTATTTATTTTTCTATTACCAAAAGCGCATCTCCCGTCTTCACACGCTGAACGAAGGGGGAATGTTTTCTGTCGGTGTAACGTGCCTCGGAGACCCCGGTGAGAGGAGTTAATGGAGGAGAGAACGCAGAAAAATAAAAGTGGTGCTACGAGATGTAACTGAGGGAAGAGGAGGAAAAGATGGGGCACTCCAGGGATGGGTTTAATATGTACGGAGAAATGGAAACCATGGAAAAGCATCGAGTTAATGTAGGAGCACAGAATGAGTCGCGCGACAAAGAGCCTGATTTTTACAGTTCATGTCAGAGTATGTTTGTGTGCGTCCATGTGCCCATGTGCGCATGTGAGCGATTTCCTAAGCACTGCTGTTTTGAACTGCAGAGGAGGAGGGGGAGGCACAGTCACATGGGGATAGTGGAGCGGCGCATCAACTCTTTCCACCCCAATTAACACTTAGCTTACTAAGCCCTAACAAGGTGTTTATGCACACACTGCAACAGCTGGCCAGGGCCCTTGATACACATACGCAGCACAGTTACAGCATGCCCCTTGGGGCAAATAGACATTTGGATGAATACACATACAGAGTTGTGCAAAACGCTGCAGAAATGTTACATAGAAATCTGCAAATTAACAAGTGGCTTTCTTATATGTTTTTTCCAATAGGAGTTAAATTTGGGTTTTAGCAAACTGAAACGAAGCATGACACAATTTCAGCAGTCTGGTTATAAATAGACTTGCAGCACAGCAGAGCAGATTTAAAAGAATCCAGAATATTTCTACTGTCCCTGTTACTTTATTTATTTGGTTTGTAACGTATGTTCTGACCCCCATTCTTTTTCACATCAATCTTGTCCTTTTATTTATTTTATTTTTCCCCTACAAACCATTAGTCTCATATAGTTTTCAGATATAAAATCCCCCCATAAAGGGCTTTGTATCTAGTTTCACATTTCCTCCATCCCTGACTTTCACTCCCTTCTAAGTCTGTAAAATTACCGCCAGAAAGGATTTGAAAGGTGAACACTTTGCTCAGCCCCCCCCCTCCCAACCCGGTCATCCTCTCAAGTGGAATGTGAAAGAGGAGAGAGACTACGGGAGACACTGGTAGGATTAAAAGAAAGCGGGAGGGAGAGGTTCGTTGATTTGCTAAACGTTAAACTCTCGCTGCCTTTATGTCACTCGCTCCCGAGCAGTGCCGGCCCCTGGCGTTCTCCTATCTACGCGTACTTCCCCCTCATCCTTTTAAAAACCATCTGTAGCTGCAGTTTTAAACATAAAATATAGTGTGTATGCTACGCATGTGTATAAGTAGCACGCACGGTGGGGTAGTGTAACCTGTTTGAACAAACCCAGGCTTGTTCTGTGCAGGAGGACAGCTTATTCTTATCTCATATACAAACACTGTTTGCAAAGCACCTCGGCGCCTTCACTGTGATATGCTAAATAAATAGATAAGGGGTAAATCGGTAGATATACTTTGCAAGGGGACGCTCTAGATGAGGGGGGAGAGGGGGGTTAAAGACACTGCAACGGGCATTTAGTGTACACAAGTAGGTGTGAGCACGCAGTCAACGACGACCTGGTCGCTGCTTTGGTTAAGAGTGTTTAAGCTCGTGGAGGAAAAAAACACACGCTCACACCTCGGTACATTTTGTGGTATTAAGATTTGTGTCAAACGTGACACTTTAATATGCAGCTTGGGCCAATCTCCAGCAGGAGGACAGTTATATGGGCTCAATGGGAGGCGGGGGTGAGGGAAATGGGAAAATAGAAATGGCGACGCAGAGAGAGGTTTTATTCTGGGAGGTAGAGACAGGAAAGGCCTGAGATTGTAGGCCATTCATCAGGGCGCCATCCCTTCATTTCTGTCTCCTCTCTCTCTCTGGGCCATGTGCCATGTTGACATAGCTAAATTAAACAGCTTTTATTGGGCTCCGTTTCTTGCTTAGCTCACTTCTCAAAATGTCAGAATTTCTCCCATTTTTCATCGAACCACACGTGCAATGCAGCAAGCATGCACACGCTTGCACACATCAACACGCACTGCTGCTAAAATAAACAAAAAAACATGACATCCACCTACCAACTAACAATGACGCACCTTTCAGAATAAACGCATACTGTGCTGTGTGCGTGTTCGCGCTGCAGCTGATTTTAAGACTCTGTAAAACTTTAAAATTGAGCCTCATAAAAGCTGAAGAGAGAGCCATTCAATGTATGTTAATTGCCGCTCTCCTGTTGGGCTCGCTTAGCATCATCTCGGGGGTGGTTTATGTAGTCGAAGTCTATTTTGAACAGATTCATTGACACGTAGCACAAAGGCGTTTTCATGCCCACCTTAAATCATGCATATTTCACTGATTGGGGCGTATATGTTTGCCAAAAGCCTGTCACCTCAAATGTTTGTGTAGAGTTTTCTATGTGGTCGTTGTGGTTTAGTCCCAAATGGGTAAAACCCATTCTGCTTTTTGGCACAGACAGATGCTAGGCTGAAAAGCATACTATATGTCCTATATATATATATATATATATATATATATATATATATATATATATATATATATGAAGTATGTACTTTTGGAACTTTCCAGTCTCTGCAGTAGCTTAATTATTTAGTTTGTTTGTTTGCTTTTGGCTTCCACAGACTAGAAACTTCTACTCCAGAATCTGGAAAGCACAGAACTGTTTCTTCTCTCCTCTCTCACTCTGATTTTCTTTGAGGCATACGAAAACATAGATGTTGGCAGGCAGCAATTTTTTTTTTTTTAATTTGTTTTTTTTATTATTAAGAATTGCAAAAGCAAAACACCTGATCCTCGTGTTTCATCTTTGCCCCTTCTTCCAGTTTTTCACAGCCACAGTAAAGCGGGGACCAGGGAGAGTCCGAGGCCCAAGGGCGGCGCTCACGGCAGGGATGCGCCTGCCCCGCCGCTGCCACCCCCTCCACCTCCACCTCCGCCCCTCCTGAGAGAACGCAGCGAGCGGGCAGAGGCGCGGGAGCACGCAAGGGAGCTGCAGGCCATGGCCAACAGTAGAGGTTCAGCCAACGGGCTGCCACTGAGGAGAACTTCAGAGGACCTGCGCAAGCAGGTAGTGTGTGGCCAGAAGTGCCCAGCGCTGGTCTCTCAGTATCATGTCAGAGCTGTGATAGGCTGAAAGGAGATGGAAAAGAGTGAAAACAGTTCCAGAGATTCCCATTTTTATTTACCCATTTTCCATCTTTTTTAAATCTTCCTCTCTGTGGTTTCTCCTAACTGCTCCTGTGTCGTGCTTGCCTACCTTCTGATGTATTATGGTGTATTTGCAGTGCTTTCTTTACATTACCTCCTTCCTACTTTGCTCTTTTCTTACAGATCTTATTATTTTTAACACTTTTAATTCCTCCTCTGCTCCTCTCTTCTTCTCTCTTTGCCTCCCTTCTCCTCCATCCATTGTGTCTGGGAGAGTAATGATTGTGTTTTGGCCTGCTGCGACTGCAGCTATATTTAGTAGTGCTGGCTAGGGGCTGTGAAATCCTGCCTGCCTCTCCATGGCACTTAGCAGGTTTCAAGGAACCCCACAAAGTGAAAGAGGGAAAAACAGGAAAAGGGGAGGCTGGAGATGTCTTCAGCTTGATAAGTGTCATTCCTCTGGCCACGCTGGCTAATTAAAGGCAGGTCACTGCTGAGGCTCCGCATTCGATCGGCTTTCCTTTTTCGCTCCTGCTTCGTCTTTAACCCGCCATATTTGAAATGCCAGCCCTTATTTCGCGGTGGTGTTTTCTTGTTGTTCCACCGGACTGCTGCTGGTGTAAACACAGACATGTGCTTCAGGTTTTTAAAGTGGCTGGAATTGTCCAGCAAACCCAACAAGGAATTTCAATGAGAGTGACTGCCTGCCAAGACAAACTTCAGCCTCACTTACCCACCGGCCTTTGTTCTGCTGTTCTTCCTCTACTCTCTCCCTCGCTCCGTTTCGCACACTGCTGGCACCCAGTGTTATTCTTTTGCTTCTATCGCACGGTGTGTTTTGGTTTTCCTCATGTTCTCTCATTCAGCAATCCTCACTGTCTTCTTTTTTCTTTCTTTCTTTTTTTTTTTTTACCAATTTTCATGCTTCACTCTCTCTCTTCTCCTGTGTCAGACAGACTGATTTTGCCCTTGACAACATGGCTCCAATCATTTGGAAGGATTAGTTTTGTTTTTTCTTTTTCGCTCTCCCTCCAATTATCATGAACAAGTTGTGTGTTAACCATGTGTGTTCAAAAGACACACAAATTTAGACACATTACCAACGGTGACAGTTCAGGCTAAGCCATAGAAAAGGTCAAGTGATTTTTGTAGCAGTAAAACAAACTCTGTGGTTGTGTGTATTTAATCTAAAAAAAAAAAAAGGGGTAAAACATGATCATAATTCAATTCATGGTCATTCTCACTAATTTAATAGCAGCTTGTATACGATCCATTTTAATAAAAAAAAAAAAGCAGCAGGACTGACTCCATTGTTTGGAAGAAGACTCTTATTTAGTTTCTCCGCAGTCTTCAATTAACCTCCCTGAAGGCACCAACTACTGCAAGCCACACTGTGCAGCATGGATAATAAACTTGGGTAGGGCATCGAGTTTGATGAATGCAATTTGCAATTCTGAATACTGAATATGGTCATTCCTCCACTATTTATTCAAATGCCCGTGTTGCATTAATCAGGGCATCCTTTCAAGCAAGCTCCTATGAGCCGGTTAGCAAACTGTGTACGTTGTTGGTGCTGGGCTATTGTGACCTTTCTTCAACTGCTTAAAAATCAGCCTGACCTGCCTGGATTGCGTTGCTTTGCAAGTGACAGGAAATTGAAGACTTAAATCAGATTCATGCCTCACTTTTAAGGTGTTCTGGTGGTTGCATCATAAATCACTCCAGCAAAGGAGACCGTTTAGAGTTCAGAATAGGATTTAACCCACCAGTTGTCATTGCATCACAGGAACATTTGATGGATACGTTTGTACGCTGCGTATCAGACATTCAGCACTGTCTTTATTTTGAGCAGCCATAAACATCAGAAAACACACAAGATGACCAAATCTCTGTATGATCAAAATGCACACACACACATTTTTATGGACTTACTAGAACACACCAATGTACAAAAAAGCAAGTAAATAATTCTGTGCCTGTCAAACACAATAATCTTGCATGTAGGGCCGGATTTTCTGCCTTCCCCTGCGTCTCTTTCTTTTCCTTTCTTTTGTGAGTCAGCAAAGCTTTGAAAGGGTTAAACTTTCTGCTGTCTTATTCTATCCTCTGGCTGGCCTCCTCTCGCTGTCTATCTCCCACCCCACCCCCGCCTTCTCAGGGCCTGCTCCTGCAGATATTGTGTGTTAAAAATCTTCCTGGCAGGCCTCAGCTGGGCTATAGCAACACATGATGTCATCTAGACCCACCTCCTTTCCCCCTCCCTCTCCTTCCCGCTCACGTGCAAATGAACAGTCTCCGGCTGCCTGCCTCCTGCCTCTGTGTGCTCTATTTTTTTTCCTTTTGGCTCTTTATTGTCTCTTATTCTGTTCGTCGTTCTTTTCATTTCTCGCTGCCAGTCGCTATTAGAAGTGAACCTTTCTTTCTTTCATATTCTACCTCATCATCACTCTTGCCTTCCTCCTTTTCCACCACACCAAATAAAAAGTGAGGGAGACCTGCTGAGAGCCCCCCCCCCCCCACCCCCACCCTTTTTAAGCGAGGCGGTCCTCTGAGCCCTCTTGTGGCAGGAAGGTGTCATGACAGTTTTGTTGTCTCTCACATTGTCAGCAAAAGTTGCTGATTAGATATGACAAATACTTCCCATATTTATCCTGCAGCTTTATGACAGACAGCTGTTTAGACATCGTTGTTGCCCTAAATAACCTGTTGCCTGAAACTTTTCTTATCTGTGGATATATTCTTTTTAGTAGTCAAGTTTTGGAGTCGTAGGAGTTTTTTTTTTTTGTTTTTTTTGTTTTTTTTTTTTTTTTTTGTCACTGTTTATCTCATGAAAACAGCGTTTTAGCCGGCATACTTACTTTATCTGCTCCTATTTCTACTCAATCTGCATTTACTCCTCCCTCTGCCTTGTCCCCCTGTTTTATTTTTGGCGTTCTTTTCCCTCCATTGTGAGAAGAAGCGTTTGTGTATGTAGGGAGACGGGGGGAGTGATTGACGGAGGCAGGGTTAGGTTTCAGTTCCCCCTTATCTTTTAATGGCCTGGTCTTTGTGTCGGCCCCCCACCACCTGAGGCAAACACAATACAATCCACACACACACACACACACACACACACACACACACACACACACACACACACGTGACACGAGAGCCCTTCAAAGGCGAACCTGTCAATGGACCGGCTGTCACCTCCCTCCTGTGGCGCCCTGGCTGTGATTGATAACTCCATCCTCTCCCATCCTCCCTCCCGCCTTGTTCATGTGGTCCACCTCCAGCTAGTCCAAACAGACAGACGCAGCAGAATGACAGCAATAAAATACAGACGCATTTTGTTTTTCATGTTTTCTAATGAAAAGCAGGGCTCTCATGTGTTGTGTACAAATCTGCCTAGCCGTGCTTTGAATGCATGACTTTGAAACATGAGAAAAAAGACATACAATAAAATCATGTTGGCTTGTATTTGAAGGAGCTTTCACTGGTATAACTACAGAGCCGTGATCCCCACTTTACCATTTCATACAAGCAAACAGGGATCTTTAACTCTTAAGATCTTAAGATTTCTTATCATTCTCATGTGTAGGCTAACCAAAAAGAAGGTAAAAGTAGAGCCCTGACAGATATTAGCTTTTTGCCAGTAGATATTGGTATTGGTACTAAAATAAAGTGTTTATACTTTGGCCTAGAGTGCAAGGGATGTTTTACTCCACAGACACCTCTAGCAGCTTTTAAGGTGGGATGAGAGGGGATAATGTTCTTAAATATGTATAGAGATGAAATACCTTTTGGGGGGAGGGGAAAAAGAGACAGGCAGGAAATAAAGCTATGAAGAGAAATGTGAGTGAAAGCTGGACAAATAATGGGCACATCAGAAAGAGCCACGCTCTAATGGGAAAATAGACAAAAAAAACAACACAGTTTAATGTGTGCTGAGGCAGCTGTAGAGCTCTTTGAACTGAGGGAGAGGGTGGCCATGTTTCTTCCCACAGCTGCATCCCAGTATGCTAGCGGTGGAACTAGACACCACTGTACCAAACCTCAGATCTACAGCTGGTGGTTTAAAGACTTAAACACACATGGGCTCAATATACACTCACTTGCTTCTCCATACTTCTCCATCATGTCCATTAAAACACCTTTTTACCCCAAAAAATGAAGTCTGGCATTTTTAAAAAAGCGATAGCCAAATAAAAGGCTATTTTTATACGTCCTGATGGGATTTTATTCCATCCCAGTGACCCCACCTTCTACCTCATACTGTCCAGCCATCTGCTAGCAGAAATCAAGGAGCCATCCCTGCTTTCCATTTCATGTCTGCCATCTCTCTCTCTCTCTCTCTCTCTCTCGCTCTCTACTCGCTCTAAACTGTTGTTTATCTCAGGATGTAGTGGCTTTGGTTTTGGTTTGCACATATCCTTTGCTGAATCTCAGTCGTTGTGCTGAGAGCAGTCTACAAAAGTGCAGCAGATTTTAAAAGTATAGTAATCTAGACAGTTGATTGGCTCCCTAATGAATAGCGACGGTTTCCGCAAATAGCTTTGGTCTGACCAGCCAAATGTTTTACTGCACAGCTAGCATCTGAATGTTTGGCCTCTTCATAGCATGGAGTGTGGGTGCGCCCACGCCCCTGCATGTGTTGGCTTGTACATTCTGATAATTTTATTTTCTCTCTCTCTCTCTCTCTGTGTGCGTGTGTGTGCGTTTTGGGAAAATCATTTATACTATGTTAGCTGTAATAGTGTTTTTAACAATGAAAGGAATCTGACCTGACAACAGCAGTTCTGTTCTGTTTAAACTCGGTCAGCATGCCACCCACTGTTGTTTCTTACAATGAGTCCTTTTTCTAAAACGGACGTACTGTAGTCACATGATTGTTGTAAGATTGGTCACTCTATGACATCTAACATGTCTCAATTGTCTCTCCCTGCTTCTTCTGTGCATCTCAGGTTTCTAAAGTAAACGGGCTGACACGGGCGGGCTCGGCACAAGCCGTCAATGGTGCCAAAAAGAGCCGCGACTTCCGACTGCCCTCCAAAACTGTGAAGAAGTACACAGCCACCGTGTCCAAGGGCCACGTCACCTACACCAAAGCCAAACAGAAAGAACTGGGCAAGAAAACCAAACTCAGCAGCAGCAACAAACACAACAGCGCCGCCTCGGCACCATCGTCAGCGAACAATCACAATCAGCACAGCCAGCCAGCAGCCAGCAATGGGCTGGCCAACTCAGGAAAAGCAGCGGCACCAGCCCACCACAGCAATGCAAAAACCCGCAAACAGGTGCTACTATCCAATGGGCTGCACAATGTGGCTGCCGGCGGCCGTCCCAACGGCAGGCTAAATGGGCAGCGGCACAACACCCTGGCCAAGGAGGATGCACAGAAACTGTGCCAGCAGGGCCAGGGGGAGTGCCATGGTCGAGAAGGACTGCGGAACTCCAAGCGGCGTCTGGAGGTGCTGCTCAACTCGGTGGGGACGGGGGTGGTTGAGCACAAAGCCAAAACGCATGGCACTGAGGCCAAGAAGGCCAAGCTCCAATCCACTCCTTTGGAGACCCGCAGCAGCAGCAAGAAGGTGGCCAATCAAGAGAAAGCTACCACGCAAAACACCTCGTCTACCACTCCAATTTCTAATGGACACGAATCAGAAACACCCCCTTCTCCTAAACAAACTCAACCTGTTACCCCACCTCCATCTTCTACTCTCCCTTCTCAACAAACCCTGCCTCCTTCTACACCAGCAGCCAACGCGGAGCCGGTGAACCAGCGACCTAAGCGGGCATCGGCTGGCAAGCTGATGTTGATACGACAAGCACAGCAGCAGCAGAGCAGGTCCCATGGTCGGAGTGCCTCCTCCCCCTCATTAGGCCAGAATCACTCACCGAACCCCAGTCACGTCAGCACTACCTCAGACCCCCAACAAACCTCTGTGTCCTCCTCCACCTCTTCTCCTCTTACTTCCACCAACAGCCCTGGACAGCTCAAACCGGCAGCATTGCGGGCTGTTGACCGTGACAAGGAGTGGGAGAGTGAGAAAGAGCTGACGCGTCAGAAGGAACGCGAGCAAGAGAAGGAGTGGGAGCGCCACCGGAGTAAGACGGAGGGCTGGGCAGCCCTGGGTGAAGTCCCCATTTTCCGGCCGGCTCCAAGGGAGTTTCAGGACCCCCTGGTGTACTTGGATGCGGTGAGGGAACAGGCTGAAGTGGCTGGCATGTGCCGTGTGGCGCCACCACCAGACTGGCGACCAGAGTGTAAGCTGAGCGAGGAGATGCGTTTTGTTACACAGGTGCAGAGAGTCCACATGCTGGGCCGGCGCTGGGGCCCCAATGTGCAGCGGCTGGCTTGCATCCGCAAGCACCTTAAATCTCAGGGCATTACCATGGATGAGCCACCTGTCATTGGTAAGTGAACACGCACATGTGTATGTGAATGTACAGTAGCAGTACTGTATGCTAGGGTGTTAAGTGTAAGATGCTGTGTTGTTTGTTTGGAGTTGACTTTTTTTTTTCTTTAGGGATGTTAAAGCTCTGCAAAATTGCAAGCTGCACCTGAACAGTCTAAAATGCTTAGTTGGCTGACCGGGCTTTTTTTTTTTTAAATTTTTAAACCCTTGTTTGCAACACATTTGCAAAAATGCCAGCTTAGCATGCCCACAAACAAGGAGCAGCTGCCTCAAAAAGTCTTGACCATGATGATGCCACATGTGTTTTTTATTTATTTATTTTTTTCTGGCACAACTGAACATAAAAGTCAGAAGAGCTGAAGATCCAGTGAATTGTTGTTGTTTCTGGTCACACAGTGCTCTCATATTGCTGAAGGGGGAACTCAAAATTGCTGATTCTTTGTGTAAGCATGAAAAATAAATGGTGTGATGTGGTGCAATGACATAGTTTGTGCCATTTAGAATCATACGCTGATTTCTGTTGCTGCATTACTGAATTCAAGCACTGTTCATTCATTTCATTGTCAGATTGCCTGCCGACCAATAAGAACGGACTTGATTTTTCAGAAGGCCGTTAAAGAAACATGAGATATGTTTCAGAGGGAGAAATGAGTGCGACAGCAATGTTATAGCATGAGAGAATATGATGTGATTTAGTTTTTATTTTTTCTATATGAGAGAATGTAAAGCTGTTCTATCATACTCCCGAATGTATTTATGAAACTGTAAATGAGCATACTGAGCATGTAAAGTATGTGCAGAGTTTGAGTGATGAGTGATAGGCCACAGGTTTCTTCCTGCACACTGTCACGTAGAACCAGAGCTTACTTTCTAAGAGTGATTATTAGCAAACAAGTAAACAGACATAAACACAAGCACACTCAACCCAGTCAAAACATGGCTATCCACATCCCTCAATAAACAATTTCTTTATAGGAAAAAATGTGCAAGTACAGGTTACAAAATAGCAACATCTGCTCAGTACTTTATCGACGCACACACAGAGTATGGTTTGTCACAGACTCCTAATTTAATTTCTCCTGGATCCTGGTCTTTCACATGTTGCTGTTTATGGTGATAAGTACAACAAAGAAGATGATTTACAATCACAAAAACCTTTGTATTCTGCAGTTTAACTGTGGTTTGGCCTCCTTTGCTCTATAAAACTGTTTACTGTGACACTTATGCACTACTTATTGTTTCCGTTGATATCACTGGTTCTCCGAGAGCTTCAGCAGTATTCGACCTGATTTGTATCTCTCCGTTTTATAGATGACAGCAACAATGTGGAACATATCAGAAAGGAGCCTGGCGGCCAATGAAAACAATATTTCTCTCAGATTGCTCAGTCACCTTCTATTTCTCATGATGACATAAGCGTTTTATGAGCATTTAAACAGCCTCGGGTCGGGACGGAAATCCAATGTGTGAGCTTTGTGCATGTGCAAATTCTCATGTGTGCAAACAAGTGGCTGTTTAGTTTTGCCCTGGTTGAGTTTGTGCAGTCTCTTGTGCTGTGTGTAGCTTTTATATACAGCTGAATACAGATTAGAGCCAGGGCTAGAGTGAGGGCTGTTGGCCAGAGAAACCTGGCAGCCAACGGTCCACAGCGCAGCCAGCCAGGGTACCCTGGTTTCAAATGACTTCTTTTACTGTCCCCAGCAGATAAGTTCTACATTAACAGTAATTTGTGTCTGTGTTTGGCACAATGAAGGTTCAGATCCGTTTTGAAAGGTGGATTGGCTGTTTCAAATAAAATGAACTGGGCAGGAGGGAACGGCATGTTTAGCCAAAGGAGCAGATGACCCAAGATGGCATTATTTTAGATTAGCTTGATTTCTGCGACTTTTTAAAAAGCGGAGTTTATATTAGTGAAAACTGAAAACTTCTTTATGTACACGACATTATTTTACGAGTCAAAATTGTTATTTTATGTCACTTTTTCATGTTAGCCTATGAAACAAATGTTCTGTTGAACGCACTCCAAAACCACCACTTGCCGCTGGTTTTGTAAGTGCTGCTCATGTTCTCCTCTTACTGAACCTTCCTTTTCTGCTCCATGCAGGTGGCTGCGAAGTGGACCTGTCTCGTTTTTTCCAGCTCATCAATGACATGGGCGGCATGCAGCAGGTGATGGACCTGAAGAAGTGGACCAAGCTCGCCGACCTCCTGCGCATCCCCAAGTCTGCACAGGATCGGCTGGCCAAGCTGCAGGAGGCTTACCTGCAGTACATCTTGTCCTACGACTCACTCGGTGCTGAGGAGCGCTTGAGACTGCAGACTGATGTGCTGCAGGAGAAAAAGGACCTGGAGTCTCGCCGCGGCCCTCTGGAGGGCCTCGCAGATTCTTCAGCGCCTGGCGCTTTCTCTCTGCCGCGCTACGAGCCCAAAAACGGGCTCGTTGGCGGGATAGTGGGAGGGGCAACAGGAAACCACCGCACCAATGGAGTGTATCACCATCTGAAGGAACTGGAGGCTCAGGTCAAAGCAGGCCGGCGCCGGCTCTTCGCTCAGGAAAAACAAGGCAAAGAGGACAGGCAGCATGCGGAAGAGCAGGAGGTGGAGGACAGGGGTGTTCTCAGTGACCAGCACAAATGTATTTACAAGGTGAGGATGAAGACGACACTTGCTGTTTATGGCACACATTTGAAGCATACAGACAAGAGGCACGTAAGTCTACCTTTTGTTATTGCTTATGCATACGTTTCTGCTCTCTGCACTTTTCTTGTGATAAGTCATTACATGCTGTTAACACCTTTTGTCTCTTATTGACCTGCTGTTTAAAGATCAGCTCCAAGGCATGGAAACAAGTGACGTCTACCTTATTTCCTTATGTTATGGTCGCCCTTAGTATTATTTTCATACCACTTTGGCAGGCATTGTTGGGTTTCTTTTACTCCTTTGGTCCAACCTGATGTACATTGTCTTGTTTATATGGTAAATGTGCGGTTGGAGCGATCTTTTCTGGCCTGTCGTCAGTGCCAGAGCACCTTTTTAGAGAGACTTCAGTGAATCGAGAGATATATCGCTCATGAGGTGTAAACATTCAACACTTAATTTGACTGTTTCCTCTGTCACATCTTAAGCGACCAAATGTACACCCTGTTTGCTTGTGCTCTATATTGTTTTCAACAAAGTGGATTTCACTCGGAGACATTGTTGGGATGTTGTTAACCACACAGATGTGAGTGCCTATTGAATTTTCTTACTGTGCTCTTGGTAACAATATCGTGCTGTTAACTGCCACAGTTCGTGGTTTGTTTAAGCAAACCTCAGAAGTATGCACACCTGCTTTTACACAGAAATAGTTGGGCCATTGAAGTGAGGGGCCGGCAGTTTTATTTTCTTGTGGTTTTGTTTTAATGTTTCTGTGCAGCTGTGTTTGGTAAGGTGGTCTGTAGAGTTGCTCATGTGTGTATTTGTGGACCACATAAGATGCATTTCCCCAGCCCGCTTGCAGGCCTGCTGATTATGGCTGGCTGAAAATGTAGGTCAGAGAAATGGCAGCCCCCAAAACAGCGCGTACCCATCCCCCCCACACTTCCAAAGCCCCGCCTCCACAAGCTTTCATAACCCTTCAGCTCCTTGCGTCCAGCCCTCTCCTCATGGCTTCTCTCCTTCAGCCCATGTCCTTGCTCTCAGCTATTTTCCCAAATATCCAGTCCTCTCCACAGCCCCCCACCCCCACCCAGTTTCTCTCACTCTTGCCAAATTCTCTGCGTACCTATTCGACCCCCAGTAGTTTGTGCGCATGTGGAAATTTGAAATTGTTCACTCTGTGTGCACAAAAATGGGCCATGTGACTGTTTGTGTACATTTATTTTGAAGCAGCATCTTGGGTCGAAACTGTAATTAAACTTTCTGTGTTCACTCACTGCACAATACCCCACCCATCTCCAATCTGGATCTCATTTGATTTTTTTTTTCTGTCCTTTCCTTTTGGTAACCAAATCCCTCTGTATGTACACCCCCCACCCCCCAACAAACGTGACCCTGTAGTTATACAAGTACTGCTCAGTGCACAGTGACATGTGAATGGCTGTCACTGTCCTGACTTGGAAGTCCTGTCAAAACGTGACTCATCACTTTTTTGCAGAGCTCAGATTTGTGGCTATTATTCATCACAAGTGCCCCCCAAGAGGAGCTTATGTTTCACTTTTTCGATCGAGAGGACAAAGTGCACGTCTAGGGTGTAATTAACTGTAATTACACTGGGAAAAAGCTCGAAAAAGCGCCGCTACTGAATGACAAAAAGTCTTGTCGGTGCACCAGACTGTAATTTAACTGCATTGTTTCACAACCCTGAAGCTAGTGCAATCATAAAAAGAACTAAGTCAGATAGTACTTGCAAACACATAAGAGGGAAAAAGAAGAAAAAAACAAAATGTCACTGTGAACATTAGGAATCCACAAGGTCAAACTTCAGCCTGGTCTGCACATCTTCAGGCTCAGAGTTGGCAGATTTATGGTCACCTTCAAAGATTCTGTGTAGCAGGGTGTCAGTGGGAGAGGGTCAAGTCCAGGGGAATTGTGTCTCACACTAACAAAGGGAGTAGAGATCCTTATAGAAACACACACAGTCAGATATGCAATGTTTTATCCTTATCGCCCTCCATTTGACTTCTTGACTCATGCATCATGGGAAAAATAGATTCCACTGATGATTAATCTTAAATTCATGTGATTTGCAGGGGAAATCGGTGTCTTTGACCAACTTCTTCAGGATAGCGCGGAACACCATGACCATGTGCTTTAACAAGGAACCGTCTGCTGCTGAGGTTGAGGTTAGCATCCTGTCATCTTTATCAAACATCATCTTCATTATCTAAAGTAGCTTTCAGTGTTAAATCTTTGTTGTAATTACTTTTTTTTAAATGAGAAAACATTTAGCCCTATCAAATAATACATCTGTTAATGAAATCAAGCAGACCGTAACTTTAAGATCATTTTTAAAAGGTGAGTTGGTTTCTTCTCGATGTCAGCTACCAGCATGACTGACCATGAGGCACACCTGAATCCTGTACTCAGTTTCATGCATACTTTCTCTTACTAGTTTTCTGTTTTTGTCCTCTTGCAGCAAGAGTACTGGAGGATTGTGGAACAGAGAGATTGCCATGTGGCAGTGCATTGTGGGAAGGTGGACACCAGTACACATGGCAGTGGTTTCCCCACAGGAAAGTCAGAGCCATTTTCAAAGTAAGTGTTTCTCATCCATCTTGTGAGTTTGGGTACATTTTTCTACCTGCAGCAAAGTCTTTACCTGATCACCGGTCAGATAAAACTTTTTAACAGTCAAACTATCTGCTTCCTCAAAAGTCATTCTTATAAAAACGTCTTCTTTTCCTTCTTTCCTCAGACATGGATGGAACCTCAATGTCCTCCCAAATAACTCTGGATCCATACTGAGGCATCTGGGTGCTGTGCCTGGTGAGAATTATTTTCATAGCACAGTCTGTACGTTGCTCTACAAATGTAGATGGTCTGTGTTATCTTGATCACTCCAGATGTTTGAGCCGTTTCTGTTGTTTAGCCTGCAGATATTAATGTTTCTGTCTCACTTAACCTTCCTGTCTCTACAGGGGTGACCATTCCCTGGCTAAACATTGGCATGGTCTTTTCTACCTCATGCTGGTCTCGAGACCAAAATCGCCTTCCATATATTGATTACTTACACACTGGTGCTGATTGCATTTGGTAAGTATGCACAGAGGCGTTGTCTCAGTGTAAGTGTGTGCACCAAAAACTTGTTAATATGGTAAAAATGTGTAAAATTAGACGAGAGAACTAATAGACTTGAATAAAGGAAAACTAAGTGAAAAGTTTGAAACTGATGTCTGTGTGTGTGCTCGGACAGGTATTCTATCCCTGCTGAGGAGAAGGCTAAGCTGAACAAGGTGGTCCATACACTGCTTCAGGCCAATGGCACGCCAGGACTAGAGATGCTGGAGAAGAATATCATGGTAAGTCTATAAAAATCCATTCACATATATTTTAACTGGAAGGAAGCGATGCTTTTGATCCTAAAACTTTGCAGAGTCACTTGGAAATGTAACGCCGTTTATTTCACTCTTCCAGATATCTCCAGAGGTGCTGTGCCGTGAAGGCATCAAGGTTTATCGTACTGTCCAGCGGAGTGGCCAGTTTGTGGTCTGCTTCCCCGGTGCCTTTGTCTCTAAAGTGTGCTGTGGCTACAGCGTGTCAGAGACGGTGCACTTTGCCACACCACACTGGATGAACCTGGGTTACCAAGCCGCAAAGGTCAGCATATAAATCAGGGCCGACAAAGCTGAACCAAAGGCCATTTCGATGAATAATGACACATTTTACATCACTGTTTGTTTTTATTTCGCAACAGTGCTGTGGACTGCAGCTGTTAAAGATTCAATTTGGGTAGAGGTGATTAACACTGAAATGAACTTAATTCAGCCGGTGTTTTGACCTTTGAGTTCTGTTTCATGTTTGTGAGCGTGAGAGAGCTCCCGAGTAAACCTTTGGCTCGTTGGACTTCATTATAGCTGCAATAGAGGAGAAGAAAATGTTCCCCATTGTCATTATGGGCATAACAGTGATGGAAGTACATCTACCTTCAGCAATGCTATCATACCCACAGCCACATTAAGATTACCCTTCAGGGTAATGTGACATTCATAAAATGTGCTGCACTGTGGAGCACTGCCTGAAACACGCTCTTGCAAATTACAAACATTTTTAGTGAGGAATCATAGGAGAGGATGAGAAACATTGATCTTGGTTACACTACAAATATTCTCTTTGTTATACATTGTCAGCATTCTTGGAGTATATTAGTCCACACCTTTATATTTTGGCTGAAAGCTGGACAAAAATAGATATTAAATGGCTGATTTTTTGTTTGTTTTTTCCACTCACAGGACCTGAAATGTCGTTGTATAGCCAAACCATTCTCAATGGAGAAGCTACTGTATCAGATCGCCACAGCTGAGTCCAAGAGGGACAACGGCCTACTCCTCACCACCATCTCCACCCTTCTCAAAGACCTCAGGTATGATGCAACAACTCATACAAACGACAAACACGGCAAAGCTACAAATCCAGTTTTATTAGATTTCTAAAGATCGCCACATCAAACACTGCCTATTATGTATCAAACTTCTGGGTTTTGTTTGAGTCAGCTTATGTTCATAAGATAGGTGTGGTCTAATTCACCTTATAATGACTAAATGTACTGTTGTTGTAAAGGAAGAGGAATAAATTGTGATTGAAGTTGGCTATAATACAATTATATCCATTGTGTTACTGTACTGAGATCTGAGTAAGTGCCATTCTCTGTAAGCTCCACTCTGATAGTTTCCCCTTGATAGCAGCAAACTTACTTCCGCTCTCACTCAGAGTGTTTTTGTCCATCAGGAACATAGAGATGCGCCAACGTCAGGAACTTTACAAGGCAGGTTTGCTCTCCTCTGCCCGTTATGGCACACACGATGGCAGCCTGGGACCCATCGAGGGACGTAAGAAGCCTCGCGGCAAATGGCTGACACTGGAGTCCTCAGAGAGGCGCTGCCAGATCTGTCAACATCTCTGCTACCTGTCCATGGTGAGAGCACAACGCCCAGGGGTTTAACATGACAGTGTGTCAAATGTTAAATGGTTTGGGTTCAGTTTACCTGCAAAGGACTTCCTTCCTTCCTTCAAGTCAACATATTCATCCTAAATATTTATAAATGAAATCCTACATCTGGTTAGTGTGGCTGTAATTGTAGGTCTCTTACTACTCAACCTGCTTTAGTGATAATGTTTCGTATAATAATAGTACCTTTTTTGTTGTGCTGGAGGCCAGGCTTGGTGAATTGGAGGCATGGCTCCACACCGTTGAAAGTAAACCTGCAGCTGTAATGGCTAGCCAGGCCCAAAGTAGTTTAGCTGTCACCCAAATGCACTGCCGGGAAGAAAGGCCGGCTGCTGCTGGAAGGAAGCGCAGTCCGAAAGAGAAGCCCTTGGTACACAACTAGCACGTTCAAAATTCTAACCATGTGTTTTTTTTCCACTCAGCGACACCTGCAGAGAAAAAAACTCTGGTCATTGGCAGCTTCATACTTAGAAACGTGAACCTGCAGACTCCAACAGCAGAGCATTTGTTTGAACTAAAGATAAACGTAGATTTACTTAGACTGTAATTCAGATTGAAAGTAATGGCATCCAGTTGTTTTAATCACAAGTCACTAAAACTAACATTGAGTTAGTGTGTGACTTTACTAACAGCGTCTTCTCCCCAGTCTGACCTGGGTTGACATGCATAGCTGGATGTTGTCTTTTAGCTGCAGGCTGTCTGGGAGGTGTCCAGCAAACAATATGGGCTTCGTGGGTAACTGGAAAACTTTCTGTGGAAAACATGGTCTTTTTTTAGAGAGACTCCAACCATCCTACTATGGGTGGTGCAGCTCTCATCTCTATGAATGTTGCTGAATTTATTAAAAAACAAAAATCATGTGTTTGATTCTGGATGATCTATGCAGAGTCAAGCACAGGAAGCAGAGCTGCATTTGTAAGCTGTGTACACACTGGAAGGGTTTTGCAGCAACAGCAGAGATCACAGAAACAATATCTGAACACTATTTGGCGCAAAAACTGCTGACGACACAAAGTGGGAGGGATCTGCAATAGATTGTATTCAACTTCAAAGCGACCAGTTGAATAGACTATTAGTGAGAGTGAAGAATACAGTTGGTTGACGTATGACCTGGAAGTCAATACATTAGAGGGTCACCTAGGCAACCGGAGCCTGAAAAGTCTGCATGCGACCAACGATCAGCTTCAAAGCGATGCACGATGAGTCTGAATCTGAATCAAATCTTTATTTCAAACATATTATTTAAAAAAATGTTAATAAACAAAAAATAATTTTTTTTGTTTATTAACAAAATGGTCTGTATTTTTTCCATCACTTAGAAAAAATACTGACCTTTTTCCATTCAAAGGGGAGTAGGAGGAAGTAAATGCTTACAAATTTCAACCCCTATTAGCAAATCGCTTCCAGTATGTATGCAACTTTACACGTCTCTCAGCAGCTTCCCTCCCCCTCCAAACTCACAGAGACCATCTGCTCCCAGAAATATATGAAAACTATTTCAATAGAGCAAAACAATTGAATATTGATTTATTTTTTATATTAGGACTCTCTCAAAGTCCCTGTTAGTAAATGATGTAATAATCGATCAACATGTTGATTTATTTTCTGTTACACTTTAAGTTTAAATGAAGGCAGTGATCTCTCACTCTAGTTTATTAATCCCGCAAAGACTCAGACAGCTGTAATTATCCTTAGCCTTAAACAGTTGAACTGTAAAAGACAAAAAGTTTCTGTTGGCAGATTTATGCTTGTAGATGATGAAAACAACAACTTCAACACTGTGTTTAATTCATTACTACCCTCAACTCAATATTTTGATCACATTCTTGACCTTGTCCCGACATATTGCATAGGAACTGAGCATTTAATGTATTTCTCAAAAAACCTCTTTTGTTTAAAATATGAACTACAGCGCTCTGGAAAACATTTCTATACAGTAGATGTCTATACAGAGGATACGATAGAGGATCTCTTAATCTTAATGTGTGACTCCCTGGTACAGTTCACACAGATGGTGGAAATTAGGGATCCGCTAATTTAGAAGACTGTCATCTGGCCTGGAAAAATAGCTTGATTCCTTATGAAAAACAAGTCCTCAGTAAAGCTAGGCCATCATGCTGTTTGTCACTGATAAGACAAAAACAGGAACAACCCCATGTTTCTTCTCAGCGCTAGTCAGGCTAATCAGTTTTTCAGTTCTGTTAGCTATCAGTAATAATGACTTCACGAATTTCCTTTCAAATACAATTTTTACCATTATTGAAAAATGTCAGATGTATGATATTTAGAGTGCTTCTTGCCAATTGATCTCACTGAAGTAATTACTTCAAGTAAACATCAACATGTCTGTTAGACCCAATCGATCTATCGAATCATATCTGATGGATCCCAATTTGTGCATGTACATGGGGAGTTTTCGTCGTACACTGAAGTTATTCATGGAGTTCCACAAGGTTCTGTCCTGGGCCCAATACTTTAAATTTTTTTAAATGTTTTTGTTTTTTACGTTATATGTGGTTCCCTTAGGTTGTATTATTAGAAAACACTGCATACATTTTTGTTGTTATGCAGATGATACCAAGTCATATCCATCTATAAAGCCAGATGATTCAAAAAGATTTGGTAATTTCTTAATTTCTACTTAAGAAAAAACTGAGGTTATTGTATTTGACCTTAAAATCTCTTATAGCCATGAAGTTCCTTTAGATGGCATTACCTTGGCTTCCAAAAACACAGAAGAATCTTGGACTAATTTTTTTTTAAACTGGGATATATCGTTTAATTCGCACATTAAACACACATCTATTATTGGACTTTTCTAGAAGCTCCCTTAAAAGCCTTTAGGTGATTCTAAATGCCACAGCAAAGCTACTCACAGGGACTGGAAAGAGAGAGTGTATTTCTCCAATCCTGGCTTCTCTTCATTGGTGCCCCTCTAAATCCAGAGTTTAAGTTCGACTCTACCTGTGGTTCATAAAGTGTCCAGTATCAGATTGGATGATCCTGAAGCATCACTTAGTTATGCTGCTAAAAGCTGCTGAGGGACCATAATGCACTTGTTTTCCAGTGACCTCTTTTTCAATCCTGATGAATTTGTTTGCCAATTTTGCATATTAATTAACCTTTGTCTACTCTCTCCCGTAGCTTGTGCATTTTCCATGGCCTCTCTGTGCTCTCCTTTCTCTTCTTTCCCCTAACCCCCAACCGGTCGCGGTAGGTGGCTGCCCCTCCTTGAGCCTGGTTGCGCCAGAGGTCTCTTCCTGTTAAAAGGGAGTTGTTCCTTCCCACCGTCGCCAAGTGCTGCTCAAACGGGATCATCTGATTGTTGGGGTTTTCTCTATAGTATTGTGGGGTCCAGCACGAAGCGCCTTGAGGCAACTGTTGTTGTGAATTGGCGCTAGGAGTTGTTGTTTTTGTTTTTTTTGTTTTTTTTCAGTTTGTACATATTATTCCTGCAGTATGCTCTGTAAGTTAAAGGTAACTTACTAAACATACTTAATACTACTGAGATAACAGTATAAGCATGATGAGTATGAGACATTATAGAGATTTATCAATATTTCCACTTTTCACTAAGAAAATAAATTCTTTGTTTTACTAAAAGCCTTTTTTTCCCGTTTAGGTGGTTCGGGAGACTGACAATGTGGTCTTTTGTCTGGAGTGTGCCCTGCGCTATGTGGAGAAGCACAAATCCTGCAGAGGCCTTAAGATGATGTATCGATATGATGAGGTAAGCTACCATTGTGTGGGTCTGCTATGCTTCCATTCTCCCTCTGTCCAGATGGGGGAGACATCAGCTAGCTTTTCACACCGCTACTGAAAATGTTTATACTGAGTTGTACCTGTGGTGTAATCAGACTTTCAAATTTTTATTTATGTTTTTTTAACAGTAGACACACCTGTACTTTGCCATATTCCATTTTACCTTCTGCTCTTGATTTGTGTGCATTTGCTTCATTACCACCTTTTTTCTCACTTTTTTCTGCTTCCTTTTGCCACACAGGAGCAAATCAACAGTTTGGTGAGCCAGGTGTGCGGACGAGCCATGTTGAAGAACGGAGGAAGCATCGACGCTGGAGGAGTCATTGTTAGTGGCGGAGGAGGGGACCCCTGCCACGGCTTAAGCCCTGCCAAAGCATCGCCAGCCAAGCGAGGACCCCGAAAACGCGCCACCGTAGAGGTGTCTCTGGCCCGCCTGTCGTCCAGCCACATGCCCAAGGCCGCTGCCGTGTCCTGAGGCGGGACGCCTCAACATTGCCACCCATGTGTGCTGTGCCCACATCCCACCACACCCCCTCCACTTCTCTGAATCCCTGTGTTTTTGTTTTTCCACAGTAAGCAGGATCACTATCAAACCGCTCCTTCTTCACCGCCCGATGTTAGAGATTGTTTTTGAGCTTTGAAGACCCCCCTTGCCTGACCTCAGTCTCCATCTCTTTAATAAGCAAGAGATTCTCCTCTCCTTTAGTAATGACAGGCTTGTTATAAGGAAAAGGAACTAAAAAGAGAAAAGCAAGATGTCTTTTTTGCACTAGTGTGAAAGAAGAATTTGTTTTTATTTTGGATGATTTTAGAACACACACACCTCTCTCTCTCCGAGTCAATATTGAAAGCATTAAGTATAATGTTCACAGACTTGACAGGCCTCATTTTACCCTTTAGCTCCACCTCCACCCTTCCTCAGCTGATAGGAGGTTACAATAATTACCTTTTTCTTGCATCACTCTTTCCTGCCTTCCTCTCACCCATGATACTGATACATCACATGTCCCTCAACTGTGAACACAGGAGGAATGAAAAGGCGGCCTTCCCCCCACTCACCACCGCTCCCTCCCTCCCATGATTTTGTGAAATGAAAATGACATCAAGTAGTTGCCCAAAGTTTCTCTCTGTCCTTTATTTGAGGAAGAGGAATCACTTTTAATGTATTCTTGATGCAGTTCCTGCCTATTTTTTCTTTCTTTTTAATGAAATGTGGGTTGGAGATGCAAGGTAAAAAAAACTTGAAAGACAGATGATGTTGGTTTACTGTTGGTTGGCTACAATTTGTTTTTGTTTTTTTCCCCAAGTTCAGTTTATGAATCTTAGCTTTCTTTTTTCGATAGTTTTGTTTTGTCGTGAGAAATTTTCTGTGTATATTTTTTATTTTTGTCATCATTGTGGACGTTTTCTTTTTTGTTTTCTGTTCGTCGGCGGACGTGAGAGGGGCAGAGCTGCAGCTGCTTGACCTGTATGTGTATGGGGATCCCTTCTTCACTAGCAAGTGGAAATGGTGCCTGATACTTAGCAAGGAGATCCATTTTATTGGTGCTGTTGGTTATAATTACTGTATAACAACACAAAATTCTTTTTAAAGGAGGAAAAAAAAAATCTGGGGGTTGGCGCCTGCTATTGGTTCACTCTGCTAGCTCACGCGCCCCCCGACCCCCACAGGGCAGAAAGGCTCGTCGGGCTTTTCTGGTTCTAGATGTGCAATCGTGTTAACATTCCATTCTTCCAGTCCTCTTGTTTCATCTGTACCAGTAAACATTAATATTATATTATATTATTATTATTATTATTTGGGGGTTTTTTTTAAGCTTTGTTGATCTAATGTGTTATCTCAAGTAGAGCCACTAGTCAAAGAGTGTAAAATGTGAAATATCAAATCCAAGTTTTTCTTTCTTCTACTTTTTTAAGAGCGGAGAAAAAGCCCAACGCAAACAAACATCAACTTTTTTTTTGTACATAATCCTGTAAATTTCTTTAAATACTTGAGCCTTTTTTTCTGGGGTTGAGTAAGAAAGAAAGGAAGGACCAGAGAAAGAGAGAAAGTGTTCCAGAGGAGAGTGGTCGATGAAGAAAAAGCCTTACGTTTTTCCCTTTCTTCATCCATGTGAGTTTGACGCTTACAGGGTTGCTCTGGTAAATGTGTATAAAAATTTTAAGTGCTGCTTATATCGCTAAGAAAGAAGATATCGAGTAGCCAACGACTGCCCCCCCCCCCTTTACCTGCCCCGCCTCCTCCCTGGCCTCCTGATCTAGTTTTGTTTGTTTAGCTTTACTTTTTTAAAGAAAAGGGAAAAAAATGATATGTTCACACAAAAAAATGGGTTTTTACATTTTCATTACTGAAAATTCAACAAAAATGTAGTAGCTACTCATGTTGCACTGAGCTTGCCAGTGGTGACTGTCAAGGAAAAAAAATCCTATAATCCAGTTTGTTGGTTGTTGTCCCTTGCAGAAGACTGAACTGTTTTAGGACTATTTAATGACATACCAAGTCGGGTGTTTTCAACATTTAAAAAAAAAAAGTGGTTGTCAAGTTTTTATGGCCTTACAATATATTTTATTCAGATGGGATTTTCTTTGTTTGTCCTTCAGTTATTTTTTTCTTTGTTTTTTTCCTTCCTTTTCTACAGTATAAACTACTTTGCTCACAGTGGGGTCTTTGGTGACTTAATTTATTTGGTAACTCGGCCTTTCCCTTCATTCGGAAAGAGAGTCTCATGTTGGTTAAATTGACTGTTTTTTACTTTTGCAGTTTGTACTTAAGGTTTAATAAAAACTTACTGACAATTCACTGTCATTTCTTTCCAACCTGCTCGTGTGTCTCTTGGTGTGCTGATTTCCGACTGGATGGCGAGGAGAAACTCTCCAAACTGCGTCATAATTCACAGTTCAGAGATTTGTAACATTAGATGGATATTTTAGGGATGTGGAGACTCATTAGCCCTGCGACGGACTGGCAGTCAGTCCAGCGTATATTCCACCTCGAACCCCATTACAACAGGGATGGGCTCCAACCTCCCCATGACCCTGGGATGGACGATGGCATTTTGAAATAACCTCAGTCTTTTCTCACTTACCTCTGGGAGTATCTACCCAGGAGCGTGACCTAAAACTTATTCAGTTATTGGTAATTGACAGAAAATCAATTAGATTTTAATATTTTTAAATCATCTTAATTTTTTCAGGTTTTTGGTTCAGTAAGTTAAACTGAACTTTATGTGCAGTGTTTGTTTTAAATTCTGAGGGAAAAAAAATAATTTATGGAAACTTGTTTTCGCCACTTAAATTTTTTTTAGTTTCAGTCTTTACTCTGTATGATGGTCATATGGTCATCTCAACACCCCCGTCCAGACTTTGTTTGTGGCATGCAGCCAATCAGATAAAGCTAGTTTCAGGCACATGATGGGGCCCTGTATGAGACAAAGGAGGATTATTCTGAACTGTGAATCATATTGCAAGCTTTCCCAGCAGAATCCTGCTCCTCTCATCTACTCCCTTTTGGTCACCACAGCGCACCAACTGCCTCCACCTCACCCTATCACTAGCATCCTCTGTCACATGGACGCTCTGCATGGGGCTCAAAATGAGCATCACAGTTACCTGTTAAAGCGCACTGTTGTGTATCGACACAGACTCTTTACTGTTCACAATAAACCAAGGCATTCATTTTTAGCCTCAAAGTCATTTTGAGCTCTTGTATTGCTTTCCCCTAATTTCCAGTTACCCTTTTTTTTTTTTTTTAAACAATGAATATACACAGAAATTCAACTCACACAAAATAAAATATTTAATTATCCTTTCTCCCCTTAATAATAACGCTCTGTCTATTCTCTTACTGTGTTAGCTTTCCATTGTTAAATGGTAGGACTATAAAACAAGACTTCTTACTTTTCTTTTCTTACTGCTGTAACTCGGATGAAAATTAAACAACGCCGGGAGACAAATGTTTATTAGCAACAAGTCAGAAATTTTAGGCAAATGTCAACAACTGCAGACACAGAGGTCTGGATGCAGTTCAGTCTTCTGGACATTGTCCGGTGCATAGCACACTGTCCACAGCAGGGATTTGGTCCTCGTTCAACAGAAGTAGTTCACCCAGAGATCACATATCAAAGGAATGGCAAAGGTTAACTGTCGTGTGTGTGTGTGTGTGTGTGTGTGTGTGGTAAGTCATTGTTATCATTGTACCCGATCTCCACCCACATGTCTGCTATACAATGTGTTTCAGAAACCACTGTCAGGTGCCTGCCTGCTATTAAGCTTTGTTTCTACTGGGTAATGGCACAAAACCATTTTGAACTAGTTTACATCCGACGTGATCTAGAAGACTTTAAAAACAGTGAAAGAAATGCTTTTGGCTTTTTAGTTTCAGAAAGTGATAAAATATTCATCCTTTTTCTTCAGAAAAAAGCGATCAATAAGTACACTGCTCAAAGAAAACATTAAGGGAACGCTCGAGCATCATAGTCGGTTGAACTTCAGTGATATAAGTCTGTCCAGCTAGGAAGCAGAAAGCATTGTGAATCCATTTCAGCTGCTTTGGTGCAAATCATAGTGATAACGGGTTTACCAGAGGCAACAACAAGACCACCACCACAAAAATCCTCTCTCCTTATCCCTCCTAATCCTCTAGTTTGTCTTTTTACTCCTTATCACAGCTGCTAGCATGAGGATCGTACCTCCAGCCTGTTCAGGTTGCACAAGCAGTCCGGCTCCTCCAGGATGGCAGATCTCAGGCGGATATACTTGAGCTGCACGGTGCCGGGCTCTGCACTGAAGCACATCGGGCCCTCGTGGAGTTTGTTTCTGACAGTTTGGTGAGAAACATGCACGAGTAGCTCAGCTGGAGGTCATTTTGCAGTCCTAGAGGAGCTGGACTGGAGAAAAACTCACTTGCAGCATTGCTTCAAATGAAAGGAAAGACTGATATGCTGAGGTTTAAATGACTTTGTGTCATACCAAGTGATGATCGAGTGTTCCCTTCATTTCTTTGAGTAGTGCATCTTTGCATTTGTTGCACTAAAATGAATTGTGGAAGAGAAATTGCACAATTGAAAGTCTCATTTCAGAGCTTTAACCCCTAGAACAGTTTCATAGAGCACATACATGAGAAAACCTGTGCAAACAGAACCAAAGCTATCCCCGTGGTTTTACACACGTGGATTTTATAAAGTATAAAATCTTTGGCGGGTGAATTTGCATGGCAACATTTCTTTTACAGATTAAAAACTGACTTCACATTTCTGACCTGCAGTTAGATTTTAAAAGCTAGCTTCTTTATTTAGGCCAAATGGGGTACTTTAGGCTCCACGCTTAATCTCCAACACAAGCAATAATGGGAAACACATGACCGCTGCAGTCTATAAGCGCAGTGAAGGATGGAGCATAGCAGAAGGGTCGTGTGGGTGATTTTTGGTGTGTTTCTATGTCCTCATTACTCAGTCGTTAATCAGTAACAGGCCTCAACATACAGCAGGAGAAACAAAGAAACAGGAGAATCGCTCAGCCGTTAGATGACGTTATGCTGAAAAGGAAAAATAAAACAGTTTTATAAGATCAATTAGAATTGAAAACTGGCGTCTCTCAAGGTAAGGTCATGTGGCAGTTAGTGCACTGAGGTTGCACTTTCTATCATATGTTTCTCTGACATATGAGAGGAATATTAAGAACAAAGCCAATATGGTTCTGAGTTTGATTTGGCAGCTGTTGGGTGCTTGTGTCTCACTCCGCCTCTCCTCAAACCTCTGGCCTGCTTTCCTCACAGTCTTTGCTGGTCTGATCTTCGCGCTCCGCCCTGTCCACCAGCACCGTGTCAGGGTGCACCTCTTCTTCATCCAGGGTCACTACCACAGGGGGTCTTCTCCTCCTTCCTCCTCCTCCTGATCCCCCAACGCCCCCCCCTCCTCCTCCTTGCTCACTCTCCTCCTCCTCTTCCTCCTCGTCCTCCTCCCCGGCCTCTGTGTCCTGGCTGGCGGAGTCAGTGCAGGTGGATGATAATGAAGAGAGCTTGTGTCGTAGCTCAGCCTGGGTGGGAACTTGGAGGCTGATCTCTGTGGTGAAGGACTCGACGTCTGGACCTGAAAGACAGGAGGGGGGAAGTGGGTAACTTCACACTTTGAACTAAAAAAATTGTTCTTAATTTTTTGAACTTCTTAGTTTAAATAACAGTTAAATAAACAGAAATTAAATAGTTGACTTTGATAGGGTGGCAGGAGGACAGACAATAACTATGTCTCTGAGTCTGTGCGTAACTGGACCCACTTCCCTTAAATAACCCAAATAATTCTATTATTTATGGTTATTTATTATTTACTTGCTGTCTCAGGCCGAGGGCTGCTGCAGATAAAATGAGGCAACTGCTCTCATTTCTTTGGAATGACTTCACAGCTTTAGTTCAAACTTGCAACGGACTGATCGACTGTAAACAGAAAGTGTAGCATCAGACGAAGAGGAACTCAGATGCTGAAGATTACTGACTGCAACAATATGTTTCCTCAGCAGATCTGGACAGATGCTGATGGTGCATCGTGTGTTACATCATGTGGTGTGCTTGTCAGATTTCTGCTTCAGTGAATTTGTTATGAATCACAGGCTGGCGACCTGTCCAGGGTGCACCCTGCCTCTTGCCCTACAATAGCTGGGATGAGCGGAAGTGAATGGATGGACGATCGGTGGGAAATTGCACTCACCTTGCACCTGACAAAGGGTTGGACCCCCTTTTACTTTCAGAAATGCTTTAAATTCTTCGTAGCACAGATTCAACAAGGCGCTGGAAACATTCCTCTGAGATTTTGGTCCATATTGACATGACAGCATCACACAGGTGCTGCATTTGTTGGCTGCAAATCCATGATGCCAGTTTCCCCTGAGATGTGATTTAAGTTACTTTGGTTGTTGGTGCCAGATGGGCTGGTCTGAGTGTTTCACAAACTGCTGATCTACTGGGATTTTCTGAAATAACCATCTCTAGGGTTTAGAGAGGATTGTCTGAAAAATAGGAAATATCCAGTGAGCAGCAGTTCTCTGGGTGAAAATATGTTGTTGATCTACTTTGGTGATGGCAGAGGTCAGGATTGTTTCAAGCTGATAGGAAGGAAACAGTAATTCAAATAATAATAAACTTGAAGATGGGCTACGGTATCAGAAGACAACACCAGAAATGTTTCCAGGACCTTGCTGAATCTGTGCAGCGGAGAGTTAAGGCAGCTCTGAAGGCAAACGGGGTCCAACCCATTACCAGCAGGTGTACCTAATAAATCTTCAAGTGAGTGTATATCTCATGTCCTTTTAGGGTAAAACAACTGACAGTTGAACATCTGGACTGTGCTTTTATGACGGAACATATATCTGACATCAGTCCATGTAGTCTCAAATACAAATGCAGATATGTGATTTGTTGTAGATTAACCCGGGTGGTACTTTAATGCACAGTTTGAGAACGCTATCGCTAAGATTAAGTGAGTTTTATGCACTGAATCAAAAGCCAGTATAACAATAACCAGTCTGTTTACTTCAGGCTACAGCCATTCTTTGTGTGCACGGCTTCCGACCTGCAACAGGCGAGGCAGCGCTGTTGTCCTCTCCTCCAGAGTGCAAAAACACATCCAGAGCCTCGTGGTCAGACATGTCCATCAAATCCATCTGCTCCAGCATGTCCACATTCACCTCCATGGATGACATGCTGCCTATTGGTTCTGTACACAGCAAAGGGTAAATGAGGTATTAGTGAACACTGCAGCAGAACGCGGCAGCAAGAGCTGAGTCCAGCAACAGTGGGATTGTTTTTTTCTTGCAGAAGCAAATGGGCATGTTCAAGCTGGATGGCATTCAAAGTGGATAAGCTTGTATATAATGCATACAAACCATATTTGGTTTACCTTAACATCAAAAGCATGCCTACAGGAAATACCTGGAAATTCAGCATATTGAATTTGCAGGTATCGTTAACTGAAGTAACAACATTCTTCCCGTGAAGGCTAAGAGTACTTCTGAAATGCCTGAATATTGCTTTAAAGTTAAAAATAGACATCGTGATTTAAAGCATGTGAAAGAGATTTAAAGAGATAGCTGACAAACTTGAGAAATCTGATTTCCTGAGGCGCTTCTTTCAGATTGCTGACGTTCTTATTATATATGAAAGCACAAATGTGTGGTTGTTGACAGCAAGGCAGCACATCAGAATGTTTAATGGGTCTAATGTTTTAATAGTCCACCAATACATAGATTGATTGGAAACTCCTGTTACACTACAGCTAAGCCTGGATTCACCGCCTTGCACAGGTGGGGAGGGTGGAGGGGGTTCTCCACCCTCCCCACCCACCACATCGTGATGTGCCACATGCGTCGTAAACAGCCAGTTGGTACACTAAGAGGATGAGGGGACGGGGTTGTGAGAGCATGAGGAAGAAGCAGCATGACTGGTTGTTGCAGAGCAGTGAGATAAGACGCCATTGGCTACCGTACCTCAAAGAAATGAGGAGAGCAGAAGAAGGGCGGCACAGGGAGGGAGAGCAGAATAAAAAAAGAGGAAAGAAAGAGGAAAAAAACAGAAGGGGAATGTTATTTCCCGTGGAGACTGCCCCAAGGTCTCCTTGCCCTTTAAATAGTAACACAAAACACAAAAAGATCCCACACAGACACAGGAGAGCGCCGTCTTTTCAGATGCCTCAACTTGGGTAACTCGCCTGAATGTCCGCACGCGCACATTAAGTTTATATACACAGTGACTGTTGATGCGTACGCACAGAAAGTGAATAAATGAAACAAACACGTTTATCTCCTCTGCTCAGTGAGGACAGCAGTGGTGCTTTCTGTGACACGTTTCAGGCTCTGATTCTGCCTAAAGACTGCTCAGTGGGCCTCGGTGGACAGGCGCTTCCATATCTGCTTTGTCAGCCACGCAGTCGCCTCCATAGTAGCTCTTCGGCCTCGTAAAGCATAGCATGAAGGATGTTTTGTTTCACTTTTAAAGCTCCGTTTCCTCCATGTAATAAATAGGCAAACAAACGGGAAGACACACACATGGATACACAACTGACAGCTGTGGTTATGTTATGTGAAAGTCTAGGTCCAGGAAGCACCACGTTGAGAGCATTGTTTCCATGTGACTGCCTCTAACATGCTCTTCTTTTAGCACCACCGTGACCTTGCCTAAAAGGTTCTCCTGCTGGGAAGGACTGTCTCTGCCTGCAGTGAGATTGCAGAGAGTGAGTGAGTGAGTGAGTGAGTGTGTAAGACCCTTGGGACTAGCTTTTGATGGCTCAGCGGCTTATGACATCTGCAGCCTCCCTTTCGCTCTCGGAGTCTCCAGCTGTATCTTTGCTCTTCAGTAGCGCCGCCCTGCTGTAGGGATTTACAGCTATATTAAGGGTTATGAGTTGTGTGTTCATTGGTCATGGAGAGGTGTTGGTTTCAGGTGATTTTTATTTTATTTTTTTAACCACTTTAAATATAAACATGTCCAGTCTTTTTGTACCACTAATATAAAAGAGCCAATACAGTGCTACGCTTCTTCGGATAATGAGCTGTGACTATTCCGCTCACTGCACTGATAAAAAAGCCTTTTGAGTTTCAGTGAACGCTCCTTAAATCTCTTTCCTTTTGCTCCATCTCTCCCTCCGTCCTTACTTCTCCACAAGCTTCTCTAAGCCATTTCCAGGGTGATGTGGGGAGGAGGGCAGATGAGGGAAAGAAGAAGAAAAATCACATTACAAACACTGGCCAGTGGAGTCTGTAACATCTCTCAGTGCGGGGAGCTGTTTCTGCACATGCTTTGGGTATTTCAGTAGACGTTTGGCAGCAAATACATGGAGGCGCAGCGGGATTCTGTTACAATCCCAGAGTACGTTTATATATCATGGTGGCATCATTTAAAATGTAATGACTCTACTCGTGTGTTAAGTGACAGGCTCTCCTCGCTACGTAAAGCCATTATGACTCAATCTCATGGTATGCGGTTAAAGTGTGAAGGTCTCAGCTGATAGTAAAGAAATTTATTCACGCCTTTGCATTCACCTTTAAAGAATTAGCACACAATACTACCGAAACCTGAAACCCTCAACATCTTCCTTTTGCGCTAAAGGCGACGGAGCGCTAGGAAACTAAACTAATATCAGAAAACGTCTGACCTTACCGCTCCTCCTCCTCACCTCGCCTCTCAGCAATCTGCAGGTAGCCGGTAGACAGGTACTGCTCCATGTCCTGCTGAAAGGCCTCCTCAAAGAACTTCTGCCTCTCTTTCACCTTCACCTGGGGTGGCAGGCCCCCTCCTTGCTCCGCCCCGGGGACTCTCTGTGCGTGCTCTGCATCCAGCTCCACTAGAAACACATGAAGTGAGACAATGTAAGTACTACCAATCCACTGTGAACCAAAAGTGGATTTACATTTGCAGTGTAGCTATAGTCAGCTTTATATGGCGCAATATGACTTGAAGTTTAAATCTAACAGTCTCTGTAAGCTCATCCGTCCATTTTCTGGATGTCTTTGGCTCAAGGCCTACTTGCTGTGCGCTTCATTTTCTGTTCCAAAATGTTTTACTGTTAATGACTCATCACACAGGAGAAAGGAGGATGCCAACTCACGCTCATCAGTCTTTATGGGAGGCTAATGATGAGAACCCTGGTATTACCGAAAATGCCCATCTTTCTGAGGTCTATCCTCCTCTTTACCTCCAAACTCTGTCTCCTTTCGGTTTCACAGGAGGGCACACACTCAGTGGAGTGCACATGAGGGTAAACCTGCCGACTGTATCCTGAGCGGTACTGTAGCATCAAAGGCGAGGCTCAGAGCTCTGAATCTGACACAAATTAGGGTTTAGATGAAAAGGGCCTGTCATATACTGAATGTTTGACTTTCTGACTTTTCAGACTGGCTGTGATTGGCCTGAGCAGCCCGCTTGGCCATCTCCCGGAAGCTGAAAATGTCTCACGGTGGAGGAGGAGGATAATTCACGTTTTGGAAGTTGGAATCACAATTTTCAGCTGCAACGCCCCCTCAGGTCAGATTTCACACTTGGAAAGCCAGTGAAGCCACACCAATCTCAACTTTGAAGTTAAAGACTGTAAGAAGTAAGCGTAAAAAGCAGCAAATGTGTAAAACGTGTGCTCTGTACTACCCCCGTTATGTATTTGTGATTCAGTAAATAAGCCATACACAGAGCACGGACCAGACTCTAATGTGCTGCAGCTGTGTTTTTACTTCTTCTTTTTTTTAAATGAGGAATAAGAGCTACTGCGTTGTACTCCAGGCATTCATAGTGATGGATGAATGGCTCCACCTTGCTAGGAAGCAGAATAGAGCCTGTTTTTCCGACTGCTGCTACTGGAACACGGTCAACTCTGGCGTACAGGGCGATATTCGACATCCAGCTTCCAATGTCTATCAATGTCCTTGTTAAGGTAATAGGTATTAAACCCCTTTCACACTCTCAATAAGTGTAAAATAACCCCAATAAGATTTTGTGTAGACTCTCCGTCATCCAGGTTGTGGTAATCTAAGGAGCTTGGAAAGAAAAGCCACTGAGAAGCTTCTTCAGTCACATTTCTTTTCAAGCTCTTTAGATTAACATGATAAGGTATTGTAAGCTCTTTGGATTCAGTAGCTTAAAAAAGCGTGATTAACTACTAATAACTATATAGCACATGCATATGCTAATCTAAACAAAAATACTAAAAGTTCCATTAAAAATAGCATGAAATGGTGAAATGAGGAACAACTTCTTACACACTTTAAGTGCGTATGATTGTCTCAAAATATGACATTTCATATGATGTGTTAGTGACGGTGTTAATGAAACATGTGTTTTAACTAATAGGACATTTTTATATCTGAAAACCTGATTAAACTAATGCTTATTACAATGACTTCAATGTAAAGTTTTACAAATGTTAGTATCTAGACTTGTTTTAAGGTCGGATGCTGGATAAGACCAGGTTAAGGATTAGTTTTAGGGTTTGCAGTAATAAGTACGTCTCCAGGAAGCAAATTTAAGCTAATTTAATGTCTAGTGATGCAGTGGAAACATGATGCTGTGTGCGTGGGCACTGTGGCAGCCTGGGGTCTCCAACTGGCTGTCTCTTTAGTTCTCTGTTCTCCTGCTGATAAATGACAGCATTATATAAGCCCCCCCCAAGTAACTATGGCAAGATGCCAACGCATGTACAATGGGTGACATATATCTTTGATCCTGGTTTAACATAGACAAAAAACATCAAATTGAATCAATGAAGGCTTAAAAAATGAATTTAATATCAAAAATCAGTGAAGAAATTTGACACTGATGCTCACAGTAAGACTAACATCTGCTACACTGTCCATCACGAGTGCATTTGCAGGATTTTGTGTGTTTCCTAAACACAAGTGCATATATTTGCACATGCGTCCTTCTGCTCGAGCACCAGACCTCAGTCCTGATAAAACACACTGTGGCTTGCAGCAGATGGACACGGACACACACACAAGGACAAAAAAGAACAATGAGATCCCACCAGAGCTCTCACACACAGCAACAACCCTGGGAGAGTTGGAAAAGAATAGCTCTCTCTCTTTCTCTGTCGTTCCTCACTCAGTGTCTAATTTATCTCATTTATCTGACAACTTGTCTTTGTCCCATTACTCCCTCATCTTTCCCCCTCAACTCGCTGCTGGCTGCGATGCATATGTGTGTGTCTCTGTGTGTGTGTCTTGTAGAGACTGCTCTATTAGATAAGGGGCCTCAGGGAAGCTTTGTTAAGATTGTCAAGCATTGTGTGGGGTTAGTAGCAGGAGACCGAGCAGGAGTAAGGGAGAAGCAGGGCAATGCATTTAGGTATAATTAGGACATGTGGACAGAAGGCATTACCAATAGAGCAGGATCCCGTTTTTTTAATCACTCCGTCTCTAATCTAATTCTCGATCCTTTATTAGCTTCCCCTGACTATTTATTTGCATCATCTATGTACCTGCTGACTGAATGCATCCATCTGTTTGTCTGCCTGCCTACCGGTGGAAGCTTATTATTCCTTTCCCCGTCAGATCCGCAGACAAAGATTTTTGAGAACTGCCATGAAAGTCATGATTCCCGAAAGGTTCAAATATAAATCAGAACATAAATATACTCCAATATGGCGTACACTGTGATGGTTTATGCCAGTACTCCCACCTCAAAACACTTAAATGAAAACCACTCTACTTTTAATGAAGACCTCTTTTGTCATCTTTCTAGTTCTTCATCCCTCCATTCACCCCCACCGGTCTTCTTCCATCACTGCTATATACCAGACAACCGTATCCTGCTACGCATGGCACTGTAGCTGCAGGGACTATTTTTAGCTCTCGCTCATTTAGCCTGCAGGATTAAGTTTGTGCTGATGAGTTTAGTAGAAGAGCACAAGTCATTAAGTCCCAACAAATTTCTGAAGCCGTGCCGCACATACGGACATAGTATACAAATGTGCAGATGATTCACGCGTGCAAAGGTGAGCTCGTGGGGATGATTCATGGGAGCTGAGCCAACAGCATTATGTTAGTCATAGCATATGATGTCGAGTAATATAACGATTTTATTTAAAGAAATGGATTCTGTGGCACTTGCGTCACTGCAATCTAAAACGACACAATCTCCAAACATCTTAATCAATCATTTTCCTGCAGCAGATTATGACATGAACATGAAGTGCAACATCGACTTTACTACCTGACGGCGCATCGGTTTCCACAATCATCGTTCAAAAACAAAAAAAGGGCCAAGAAAAGTGTAACCATCCCCTCACACGCTTTCTCTTTCTCAGCTGCACAGGAGGAAACAGCGCACTTTAAATCACGTGCTCCAAAAAGTTTGCTCTCTTTCTCGGTTCTCCGGTGTGCAAAGCAAATCCACAGAGACTCAGTCTTCTTGTTCAGATTCAATACGATGTGTGAATTTCAAATCATCTGCTTTCAGAGCTACAGAAACATCTGTTCGTGCTCTACAAAATGCAGGAAGCAGAACCCACAGGAAAAGGGGCTGGTGTGTCAGGGTGTGTGTGGCTGCACGCATGTGTGTGTGTGGATGCTTGTGTGGGCGACTGTGCGTGTGAGTCTCTATGTGTGTGGTTTTAATGTACCTACTCCTTATTGACAATAAACTCCACTACTGTGATAAAAACACAGTCTGCACTTTATTTGCATTATGTTTACAAGTGTGCGGTATTCTTTTATATGGCATGTAAACGTGCACCCAAATATGGAAGTGCACTATTTTTGTCCCCCTTTTTTTTTTAGCAGCTATACTGTTAGAAGCAGCTAAGAAGTGTCTGCAGGTGAAAACTAAAGAGGCCGACGTGCCACCGAGGGCAATTACAGTCTTTAGGATTGAAATCAAGCTCTAGATGTGACCAAACATTCATTTTCTCACACCCTATTTCGAGAAAGCAAGTCATGCAGACTTGGTTAGCTCGATCTGTTTTGAGGCTCAGTGCTAAACTGGGCTCACATTTTTAAAATAGGGTTTTTTAATCAGAGAGCTTTCAGAATTCTCTTTGGTGAGACTCCTTAGGTAAAAAGAGCATTCAGACGGAGCACAAACACAGTAGCAGCGATGATAAGCAACTCTTACAGAAACCTTTTCAAATGGAAATATGTCTTTTTGTAAATCATCAGCAGCCAATTCAAGTCCCGGCTGAGGCACTCATTCACACTTTGGTGTGCGCTTCACACATCAGGTGCTGGCTTTGCCAGTGAAGAGGGGGTTAGGTTTGAAGCCTAAAACGGACAGATGAACGGGTAAACGGATGAAGGCGTCAGTGGACTTGCTAGCCAGCTTGCCTGTGAGGCCTGCCTGGGACTGGAGCCATCGTTTATGCACTGGTCCTCGGAGGCTTCTATATATGCGTTTGCATGAGTGTGAGGCGCTAGAAAAGCAGAGTGATACACAGGAGGACACGAAGAGAATGCAGGAGTGGCAGCGAGATGCAGAACGTGTGGGTGGGAAACGTTTTCATCCTTGTGTTCCAGCTTTTCTTGGAGAGAGATGACAGGAGAACAGGGGCATGGCTACAGGGCACGACCTTAACGGCAGTGCTGGAGATGCCACATAATGTAAAACTGAAGTGCAGTATTCCTATTTGATGTCAAAGTCTGTGTTACCTTTATGAAAATAACTGTTTCATCTACTCCGAGACGCTACAGATATTTTAAAAAAGCTGCATTTTAGTTCGTCATAACAAAGCACTGGTGACATTTTTCAGCCATGAATAAAACTCAAAGCACAAATGATCCCCCCCTCCTCTGTTATTTTGATTAGAGCTCAAAGAATCCATCCACGATCTCATTATGGCCGTTTCGCACACTTTACATCACA